GTCAGTTACCTATTAATGTCACGGTGTGTAATATAATATATCCCTTTGTTCATTGTGCACGGTGACTTGAAAGCAGCGTGATGTTTATCCAAAGGCCAAGGCTGTTGGTTTGTGTGTGTGTTTTGTTTTCACCCACCAGATTTCTTCTCCTGTCTGATTTGTAATTGTTAAAAAGTGGGTCAGGCTTGGGAGTGCAAACATTTGGATGGACACACACACACGCACGGTGAATCAGTTCCAAACTTGTCTGAGGAAAATACAGTTTCATGCCACTTCAGTTTTTGGATGCTCCAATTCCTTCCTGCTTTTCTTGGCATGGCAGCGGATCGAAATTAAAACTAGAGAGAGCGGTGATTCAGCGCATCAGACACCCCTCATTCTTGTTTTTCAGACGCGGGATTACAAAACACTTAGTCGCCTTCTGAGGAACTGTGTAACCAGGAATTGACTTCATTTTATTTTCCTGTGTAAAACAAACTTGTTCAGTGAAGAGGGACGGACTTAAGGGGAAACTGCAATGTGTGATGTACGGACTTAAACCTGCACTATTTTATACTTCACAATGGATCAAATGACTAACTGTGATGTGAAAGGTGCCGCTCCTCGTGAAGTAATTGTCACCAGTTCCCTCAGCTTGACAGACCTTTTGAGCCTCTTTTAGCTTTGTTTTGGTGGCCTGCATAATCCTCTCTCATCAGCCTTCTTACAGTACCTCCACTAAGGAGTTTATGTTCCAGTTTGGTTTGTTTGCCTGTTTGTCAGCAACATTACGGAAAAACTACAGGCTCGAGTTTCATCAAACTTGGTGGACTGGTGTAGCATGGGCCGTGGAAGAACCGTATCCAACTCACGGGGCGGATGCATGATTATTTTTCACTTTTGTTAACACTGCGAGATAGTAGTCAAGTTTAAGTAGTCCCCTGGAGTAGCCTCAAGGAACAAATAGCCTATACATGTAGTTGCTTGAACTTTGTATAGCAAGCAGTCTTCATAGAGCACTTGCTTGACATAATTCTAATAGTTTTGGAAATATAGCCAGACATCACACTTGCAGATTTAACGATCATAGAAGACAGGACTGTTGGCCTTGTTTTAGGTCTATGCTAAGTGCCCTTCTAATTTACAAATGTAACGGACAGCTGTTTTCTGTAAATAAACTCTGATCAACCAGCTGTATGCTACATGCCCGGCATCGAACAACAGACAGACAAAGTTAGCAACTACCTAGCGAAGAAAGTGGAGCAGTTAGCAGTGATAAAGACAAATATTTCTGTCAGGAGTTGGTGGAGACCAAAACGATGCTTAAAGGTGAATTTTAATCGATTAGGTCAGTGTTTGGGTGTGAGTAGGTATGTTTTTTAATTTTTGACAAAACCAGGCTAACTTTTTCTCCCTGGTACCGTCTTTATGCTAAGCTAAGTTGCCTCCAGACTCACCGAAGTGACAGTGGTATCAAACTTGTCATCTAACTTTCTGTGAGAGAACGATTTTTGCTAAAAATGTTATACTGTTTCTTCAGCATTGATCAGGTGCTCTGAAACACAACTCTAAATAAATGCTAATTTTGCTTGATATCTGCTGTGTCCCAGCCAGCCACCGACTACTTTTTGACATTTGTATTTGGTTGAATTTAGGTTGTGACGTTGGGTGACCAAAATTCAGTGTCAGGACAACGTCTAATGCAAACATCAATTGGTGTAGAATGCTGATGACAGATTGCATTGACATTTTGTTAGTTTTAAGTTGTGTTGTTAAGTAAACAAAATCCAATGTCTTCCAAATGTTTTATGCCAACGTCATCTTAACGTATAATCAGGTGTGAAAAACTAAACCCAACGGCTGCAAAACGTCATGATGTAAACTAACACTGTGAGGCACTGAAAATACTGTCAACCCGAAGTCTTTCTGACGCCATTTTGATGTCCTGTGCCAGCAGGGATGGTAACACCTTCACCATAACAGCTTTATAGGGTGTTTACACATTAGATGTGGTGTTTTAAGCTTGTTAATCTACCCCAAGCACCCCCTAAATTTAAAACTCAAATAGCTAGAGCAGGAACATACAGTTTCTGTTTCTAATCGTGGTATCAGTGCAGTTGTGGTTGCCAGAATCAAACCTGTGATCTTTCCATCACAGACCAGTCTAACAGGCATGCCCTCTGCTAAAGTGAGGTGTCACCATGGCAAAAAGACCTCCAAGGTACCATTTGAAAGGTGAGAGAGCGGGATTCTTTGAGCTTGTTCTCAGTTTCACGTTTCATGTTTTTGAACGTGAGTCTGTGATCTCTGATGCTTTGAAGTGAGACGGGTTTAGGCTGAGCCGGTGCTGCTGGCAGCGAGAGAGCGACTGTCCTATAGGGCATTGGATCCCAGTGTTGCCACAACACCAGAGCTGCCGGGTCACCGGTGTATCGAGCTTTGATGATAAAGAGTGGTGTCAAACTCCCACTGAGCCAGTATGAGGCCCTCTCTCACGCCGTCCTTCCTCCGCTTGTCCGCTGTGTTTATTTGCTCCCTGTTCTTCCCGTCAAAGCTGGCTCTTCCATGAAGCGAGACCTTGGAAAACGTCGAGAGGGAAACTTGGAAGGCTTCCGTCTGATAGGCTGCATGTGTGGTTTCACTTCAGCTGGCTTGGCTGTGGGGCCTTGGGAGCCGGTAATCATATCTTAACGGATCTCTCCACAGACGCAAGGTTGTGAGCCAGTTTGGCACCGGCTTGACGCCAAGCAGACCCCTGTAGTTGCACACACACAAACACACAAACTTGTCCATGGAAATAGGGCTTTCATTCATTGCCTCTGTGTGCAGCGCTCTCAGCATTACACTCCTAATCTCATCATTAAACTCAATCTCTTCCTCTGTCCTTCTGCAAAAATGCTCACACACACTTACAGTTATTACTTGCACAAATAAATTAGAAATCAAATGTTTTTGTGGCTTGTGTTTAAATGAAATGTTTCTTTGGGTGGAACTGAGGACAACTCAGGGAGGGCTTGTGGTCCTCGTATGGCGGGTGGTCAGTTAGACTGTGGTCAGCTGGTATGTCGGGAATTGGAAATGCTAAACAGATAGAGACTGTAAGAATATGAAAGTGGTATTGTAACTGTTAGAAGTTACACACAGTGAGTCTTTTTAGCACTTAGAGCGAGAGAGGGAAATACAGGGTCAGTGCCTGTCGAATGTGTGAATTTAATTTGAATTTTAACGACTCTGGATCTCACTCTCCAGCATCAGTTATATCGTAAGGACATTAACTTTTACAGTCACTATTACTGAAACAAGTAAGACGTTGCACTTTGCCTGAAAGACTTTAACTTAACTTTATTTGTACTCCGTGTCGTAATTCTACTCTTGCTGCTTCTGTCCACTCTGGCTTCTGTTGCTTGTCTGAGGAAACCCTCAACTGTTGCTCTGTTTTACCCATTTTTGGCCTGGCATACAAAGCCAGCCCTATAAACACAAGAGTCTGTCCGTCACTGAGTGAGTGACTGTGCCAACAGTCCTGTATTGCTGTATTCCTAATTTTCTGTAACCAGTGTAGCATGATAGTGTAGTGAAATTAGCGAGGTAGTCAGCTAGTCATGTTTCATCCACACACTCTTGTCACAGCAGAGGAAATGACATTGCTATCATCAGATGACTGACGCCTTTGTTTGGCTCATTTTCTGTACCCACTGTAACATTAAGAATAAAAGCATAGTGGAATCAGAAAGCTCTCCAGCTAACTAACCGGCTGCGGTCGAAATGGTAGTTTTAGATGGAGGAAAGAGAGGATCACCTCATCAATTTGTTTGAGGAAGAGCCATGTCTGTATGACACAAGCCTCAAAGTTTATTACTCAATATAAGGTGCCGCCACCAGTATGAGGAGAAAGTGGAAATAAGACATTGCAACAGGTGCCGTCACCTTAGTAACAACCTGTGTCAAGAGGATGACCAGTTAATTGGTTTGGGTGATTAATCAGATGTTTTACAAACTATCGTTATCATCGGAACTTGGCTCCGATAGTGGCCAATGTCTGCGTAGCCTCCAACAGTCATGCATAGTCCAGCCATATATATTTTCTTATCCAAATTGAAGGTCTAATGATCAAAGGTGTAAAGTCTGAGAAGTTCTTGGAGATGGATGCACTTTGATTTAAAGCACAAAGAAAAAGAGAAATAGGTACAAAGGCGCTGTCCACCTCGTCTCAATAAAGCTAAAACTTGCAAAGGTAGATGTGAAAGTTGCAACATCATTGTGAAAGTCAGCAGCATTGTATGTTGCGTATGCAATTATTTATTTAGAAAAACAAGGACAGCCATTCTGTTGAGACGTATTAGACACACCAATTGTCTAGACCGTGGTTGTATTTGTTTTCAATAATTATACACAGGCATTGTGATTAATATGACAACCATATATTTAAAAATGCAACAGGCAGAGTCATTGTTTAGGGGACATTCAGACCAACAATACCACGAAGTACAGCTGAAGGGGCTGCAGTGGTGTAGGCATGTTGCTACAGGTTTGTACAGACAGAAGGGGAAAGACAAACCAGGAAGTCCAGTGTGAAGCTTTATTAAAAACCAAGACAGATTACAGTGATTTATGCAACACTGAGCTTGGATTGAGCAACGTTGGAAGGGTCTCGTCATTTCAGCAAGCAATAATTTTCTCTGTCATCTTAATGCTTGCAAAGTACCTAATAAATTAGATCAAGGCATTCCTTAATTTGTGGATCATTTTGGCGAGTGCGCTTGACATTACTCTGCAAGACAACTTGAGTCATGACAATCTGTTTAGTTGGAGCTGTCTGCAGCCTCACAAGCCAGGGGTGTCATGGAAATAAATGAGGAAGATAGTGTGTGCAATTGTTGGTCTGAAAAAGCCCCCAAAAAATTAATCATAAACTGGAACACTACTAACGTGAAATAAAACTGATTAATAACTGATCTCTTCCTTTCTCTCATGTCCCTCTCCAGACGATTATAACTACCTACCTGATGCATTGCCTCCACTCCCCGAAGTCCCGGACTCTGGCTCGGCCCTGAGCTCCGCTGACATTCCCTCCCGCTGCCTCCGCAACCCGGCCTTCCGCCACACCTCCGCGCGCTACTGCTCCGCCCTCAGCATGGACTCCTCTCCGGATAGCGCCGAAAGGCCGATCAGCTACAGCTCCACCTCTTCTTCTGCCTCCTCGCGGGACAGTCACTGCTCACTGGGCAGCCGCTCAACCCTCGTCCCCACCCCTCACTGTAACCCTGTGACTTCAGACCGGGACTCCGGGGCAATCCGGTTGGAACTGGTCCCGGCCCGGCAGCTGGGATGCGGGGAGGAAGATGATAGGAATGATGGAGGGATGGACACAGGGAGGGGACAGGGGAGACAGGACAGTGGACAGACTGTGACAGAACATTCAGAGCCTGAGGTGAGCCCAGAGGGAGGAGAGCGGACGGGTCAGGTGCAAGGACCAAGGACGTATGTGGACCGGGTGGTGCAGGAGATAATGGACACAGAGAGGACCTACGTCCAGGATCTGCGCAGCATTGTAGAGGTAAGAAACACTCGACCACGATAATATAATTAAACACAAGCTGTGTGAGAAATTAGAAGCAGAAGGATTCACATATTGGCAGAAATTCAAAGGTGTGTTAGCACATTTGGCAGGTCATCAAATGTAGATTGAAAGTAAAATCAGAGATTTTTTTCTAAACTAATTATACATGTTACAAAATACTTATAGAAAACATGTGAAAAGACTGTGACCTACAGTGCTGCTTTGTGGAGTTAGATCGTTAAACAGTTTTTCACCATTTCTGTGTCATGGATATTTTGGGTTGATGACGCACTGGAGCCGTCCTATCACAACCCCTCCCGTGCTATATTAAAACTTAAGAACGTATAGTGTCATCTCATTCATCCTGTTACCCCATTTCCGTGAATTTGCTACCTTCAGCAACCTCTCTTAGCTCTTTCAGTCCAATAAATACATGAAAAAACATCTCTGTTAAATGCCACAATCATACAAGCATAAGTAAAAGCTGCCATGGACATACCTTTCAGTCTATAGCCCGAATCGGATACCCAGCCTGGTAGTTACTTCTAATTGCTTTGAGTGTGTTCTTTGCGCTCACGTTAGCTGCCGAATGAGAGGTCTTTGCTCTGTGGCAGCTTGATCTTCAGCTCAGCGTCTATAGTGGACATGCCCACAGTGTCTCAGAGCAGAGAATACTGTTTAGTTTTTCACAATTTTAAAACCTAATTTTATATATTTGGCAATATTTTTAATCACTTAAATCTGGCTTGGTGGTCAGTAAGATATTTTTCTGTGGTTTGACAAACTCAGAACACATTTATCTTTGCTTTACCCAGGCTTTAAACAAATTTGTGTTCATTGTGATGTTTTTGTGACTTTAAATGATTCATTCAAAGAGGAAAAAGCAAACAGAGTAAAGTCTAAAAACAACGACTTAATTTTGTTTAGCAGAAATACACTGGTGCAAAAGGTACTCACACATTTTACGTAGTTAAAGGTAGTGATATAGCACAGTGTACAGATATGCTGTTACAAGTAAAAGGTCTGCATTAAAATCTTCACTGAAATAAAAGCTCAAAAGTATTAGCATTATTATGTAATTGAAGTACCTAAAGTAAATGAATGATATGAATGATACAGTTTATATTAATGGATTAGAATGATTATTAATGCATTCATGTGTTCATCGCTTTCATCTTGCAGTGGGTAAAGGTGGAACTAATTTGACTTAATTTCTATATTGCTGGATAGTTTAATCTATAATAATACATCATCATTTATGACTGTACCTAAGTGAATCATCTCTCAACCCTTTAAACTTAACCGCTGCCCTGATTCAATAAATAGAGGCAGAAACTGAAATCGGAGCAAACAGTTTTAAATCTTTTGAGGGTTCCATCTTTGACCTAAAGCATTTCCCTGCTGACCCAGTTTAGGCCCGCGAGGCAGTGGAACGTCAGGAGCGATACGGGGCTTTAAATCACCAGATAACACACATCCTTCAGGTCTTTGTGGTTTTCCTCACACACGTGACACACACAGCTCGTTGCCTGCTGGGAACCCTCCAATACAATAAGGTCACCTGCGCTGGCAGGCAGGGTTTGGCCGAGTTACATGACACCGGTGCCTTTGTCCTGCAGGCACAGGCACACATTGAAAACTTCAGACGTTTTTTAAACACACACAAATACACACAATACTGTATGCACACACACTCGGATAAATACGCTCTTTTTGTGAGGTTGGCTTTGAACTGCAAGAATACACATTGCCTCTAGTCAGTGCTTTAGTGGCTTTGTGAAGGGTTGGGTGTAGTGGTTTGTATCAAAGGTTGCACTCCTTTCTCTTCCCCTCCTCTTTGTTGCTCTGCTCAGCTCTTTTTGATTCTTAAAGTTCATGTTGTTTGCGCTCAGATGCGATTTCATTTGAATTCTGCAGCTTAATTCAGATTGACTGTGGTGTAAAATGACACAACGTAGGTGTTGGAGTTGTTGCATTTTGCATGTGTGTATGAGCATGCCTGTGCTGGAGCTTCGCCCACCTTTTCCCATATCCTCCCTATCCTTAACAGCGCTTCCTCCTCCACTCTAGGCTGCGGGTGCATGGGCCAGTATGTGTGTGTTTGTGTGTGTTTGTTGTGGTTAAAAAGGTTCAATAAGTGAATGGCTGTTGTCAAACGAGAGCAGGAAACGCATATTCCCAAGAGACGGGATAAATAAAGAGAGTGAGGGTTAGTTTTTGCGGTTTTGACCTGTCACCCCTGATTGATGTCTCTCCTGCTCCTCCTTCCTTTCCTCCCCTCTTCATGAGGCAGAGGTGAGGGAAAAAGGGGGGAGACAGAGAGGGGAAGTTAGGTGGGGATTTAGCCCAGAGATAACAATGTCCAAAGTAGGTTAGGATAACACTGAACAGAGCTTATGAGCTGTACTTAATAACCCTCTGCTGCCTCCACTCTGCAGACCACCTATAGCCATTAGAGAGGCAGACCACCCAGCCCTGAGAAGACCACACTTACATGGCAGGACAGCTAATTCTTCACCACTACTTTGGGAGAAAGATGCATGCGTTTAGCCTGTCTGCACCCCTTTAATGACAGTCACAATGAGTGCACGGAGGATGGATTGCACTGATTGTATCTGTGTGAATAGAGCTTTTAACACGGCAGAGAAAAGCTCAGGCTGCTGGACAGCATCGACCCGTCTATTATCAGCACCGGCCCATACAGAGTTAGTCCAGCAACCACCGTTTCGATAATCCCCCTGCCCCTGCTGCTTCCTGCAGTGGAAGAGGGTGTGACAGCCTTAACACAAATATTTACCCAGACTCCCCTGGGCTCACCTGTGTTTCATCTGTCAGCAGTGGTGTTGCAGTCCACACACACTCATACTGTGCCTGTTGGAGTGTGAGCTGTATGTGTGTAAGTAGCGCTTGTTGTTGTTGCATGAATTAACAGCCCTGAAAGCTCAATATACTGCAACTTAAAGCATTAACATAGGCACGACTATTTGATATGTAAAGATATAGTCACGCGTGTATGTTTGTGCATGTGTGTATTCTACTGCCTAGCTCATGATGCCACTTTGCACTGCGCTCATACGTTGGTTATTGCTTAGGGCGTCGTAGAAGCTTAGCATCAACTCTCCAGTTCCCCCCAGGTTAGCACTGTTACCTCTGTCAGCACTGTTGCTGTTGTGTAGGGCAGTTTATGGGGTTAGCAACATTAGCTGCTAGCTGCTGGCTCAGTCACCACCATGTTGAGAGCCGTGCCCAGACAGCTCTTAAGGCTTGGACATACTTTCCGCATTGAATGTACACGGAGAGCTGCAGTTATGTGAACGCACATGTGGTTTTATTCATAGTACAGTTGATCGTCCATTTCAGCTCCTGGCAGTAAACGGGGGCACTGCAGGCGGAGCTTACTGTCCTGCTACTGCTGACATCAGGTGAAAGTCAAACTAAACAATGCCGCTGGGTCGTGGAGTGAATGTCTGTCAAATATCCAGCTTCAAACTAACTTCATCATGGTGAGGCAGCTGGGCATGGCTTAACAGCAGTGTTTTGGAGTGTGGAGCGAGAGATTAGAGCCTGCAAAGTCTGCTCACACACAACACGTAAGAAAAAGACAAAAGACAAGCAAATAAATAAAATATTTTTAGAACAGAAAAAAAAACCCACAGAAAAACAACACAATACAGAAACGCTGCAAGTCACACAGAAACATGATGAAAATTTTCCAGGACACACTAAAAATTCTGAATGTCCAGTGGAAACATCTGTTGTTTTGTAACAGTGTTTGCAGTGTTTCTGTATTTGGTTGTGTTTGCAGTGTTTGTGAGTTTTGGACAAGATGTTTTCTTCATTTGGTTTTGATTTGTCTATTTGCATTTCTGTCCTTAAGATGCAGTGTGTTTAGCTCTCAGGCCACCATATATTTCTGTGTGTGAACATTGTTTGGGTGTTTATTAGTTCTGACTCTAGATCAGTATGTGTAATGAGACTAATCCGCCATCCATAAACAACCTCAAAGACAAAGCTCTGATCTGTCTCTCCCTCTGTTTCCTCTTCCTCTCTGTCTCGCTCTGAGACCTGGAACGCATTGCCAAGGCATTTAAAGTTTACCAGGAATTTGGAAATAAACTTTGAACATCACTTGACTCGCAGAAACATTCAAAGTAATGAGATTTGGATGTTTACACTCGGCATTGTGTGGAGGAATGACTTCCTACAGCGGTGCGGAGTGAGGGATGTGTTTGGCGTGTAGGAAAAGAGTGTGTGTACTTTCAGAGGTTAATAGTTAACACGAGAAAATATCAAGTTTGTACATGTTATGTCTGATGCTCGGCAGGGAGTGTTGCTTAAGGTGTGTGTGTGTGGATGTGAACGCTGCCCATTGTTGCTCACTCAGGCTTTGGCTGAGTGTGAGGAGTCAGGCCGGGTCAGATCCGTGACCTCTTGGCTAATAAAGCATCGTGTTACACTTTACCTGTGATAGTCAGCTAAATCCAAACATGACCCTTTGACGTGACCCTTCAACACAACCAGCAGCATGCCCGTTAGTCTTATTCTGCAACTCAAAACCTCAAAACCAAACTACTGGCTTAAAGTTCTTGTGTTGCCGTAAACCCAAAACATCCAAGATGGCTGTCACTCACTCCCGAATTAACTCTCCAGCCTTTAGCTGAGATAATTTTGTCTTTGCATCCCTCCCTTAGCCTAACCAAACACACTTTAATGGACTGCTCAGGCTCACCTATTATAGTAATAATGATAATGATGGCTAAATACATAAAACATTACCAGGAACAGAAGCCACTGCAGCAGACTGGAAGCAGGGAGAGTCTGTCGCCCTCTCTGCTTTGGTCTTCTAAAAACACACAAGTGTTGTGTGTGCTGAAATGATCAGTGTGGGTGTGCGTTCAGGGCAGCCTGGCACTTTTCTCAGTGTTGTAATGTCTGTCCTGCCGCGCTGCAGACTGTGGTCAGGGTTTGAAACTGCTACTGTGCTGCATGCTTCCTCCTCCTTCATCCTTATCCACACCTGCTCCTAGTTTAGAGTTCAAATACAGCTGCATTGATGGTTGGGATCATTTTTGTGGATGTGTGTGCAACACTGTGTTCTTCCTGCGTATCTGTGTTGTCGGATTTATTGGCTTGAGACCGTGATGACATGGTATGGAGTGCAAACAACGCATGACAAGAAAACTGCACCTAACTAAAACATATCAAAGAACTAGATGTGAAAAACATTTTAGTTAAAGGAGCAGTGTGTAGGATTTAGTGGCATCTAGCATTAAGGGTTGCAGATTGTAACCAGCTGAAACTTCTCCTGCTCAGGATTCCTTCAGTGTTTATTGTTCAGGAGGTTTTAACTGGAGCCAAATTATCCTCAGAGGTCCCGTCCTCTCCAAAACAAACAGACCAGGTGATTAAAACCGGTAAAAACACAGCATAAAGTAGTTTCATTTTACTAATCAGTGTATCTCCTATGCTGTTTGGCACATTGCAAACGACCCACTTGCCCAGCACCTGCTAATGTGTGCTCATCTATTTGTCTGATAATTTCCAATCCAGGCATTCAGGAGATTTTTTTCATGAGCCAAATTATCTGCAGGGGTCTCTTCCCTTCCAAAACCAACAGAACCGGTAATTTTAACTGGTGTAAACCCCGAAAAAACGCAGTTTCATGTTACAAAATCTGTGCTACCAACGCAGAGAGGCAAATGGCTCTATCTGGAGCCAGTGTTTGGTTTGTCCATTCTGGGCCACTGTAGAAACATGGCGGACTCCATGGATGTAGATATAAACGTCTCATTCTACTGTATATTTTTTGAGACTGTGGTGTCTGCATGAGTGTGAGTCAAGTGCCTTCACAAACTGTTGTGTTTGTCTTGTAATATCTGTTTTGAACTTGTTAAATTTTGCCCCAGACAAGTAGCCCCCGTATTATTGTAAAAAAACAAAAAAAACTGACACCAATAAATATTGAACTAAAACTAAACATTTTTGAACAATAAAAACTAAATTGAGATTAAAACAAAGCCAAAAACAAAATAAAAACGAATAGAAAATACAAAAATAGTAACTTGGAAGGAATGAAATGTAACGAAAACACTTCCAGCCTGCAGCAGTAAACATAATTTTCTCACAAAGACTATCAGTATTGCAGAAAGCTCGCAAACAAGAGTAAAAAGGTTTAGAGCTACTGGTTTGTCTCTCTCCACCTCTCACTTTCTTGCTGCGGGGCGGACTGAGACCTGAGGCTGGTGTTTAATCAGCACTCCTCACTAACGGCAGTGATGGAGGCAGCGATAAGAGCCACAGAGTGAAATCCTCCTGAATACACTGATACCTGTTTTCAACAAGGGGCCGCGTTAAACCTGCCGTCTCGAGGCGGTCGTCTGACTCTGGCATTCATTGACACTAAATCTGATGACCTGTGTTGTTTCCTTATCAAGCTGTTTACACTAAACAACAATATCAGGGGTCACACAGTGTGTTACACTAATGGGCTGTGTTATCTACAGTACAGCTGGCTTTGTTTTCCAATGCATATTTAGAATTTTAGTTTTGTCTCTCCCACTTAAATCTAACTGAAACTGAAATCATATATAATAACAGTGTTTAGTTTTTATCTCTATAGAAACTGCTTCTGTACATTGCTGGGTAACGCAACCCCAAACAATGCAGAGTAGGCATACAGGCTCTGATGAAAGATGCATTGTTTTTTCTGTGCAACCACAACATAATAACAGCTGTGTATCTTTCAGCTGGAAGGTTAAGCCTCAAGACTGTATCTTATACACATACAATAATGACATTACAAGGGTAACTTATTTTATTCCGGACTCAGTCATTTAGACACCAAATCATGGAAAAATATGGTCCAGGTTCTCTTCTAAAAGCCCTAAATCAGACTTAAATGAAAGTATTCACACATTAACACACACATACCTCACAGAGTGTCTTTGTCATGAGGCTGTCCGGCCAAAGTGGTGCAAAGTAGAGTCAAGTGTCCTGAGAGAGTCGTGGGCTTTGAAAGCTGGTGAGGTGAAGTCTGTAGGAGTCACAGTTTGAGTTGCCTGTCAAATCAAGTGTGTTTGTGAGTGTATGCCAAGACTGGTGCCAGTCAGAATGCTCTAACATGACTGTTTTCTCTCTACAGGACTACTTGGAGTGCATCAGTAACCAGTCTCGGCTGGCCCTGAGCTCTGAGGATAAAGGCTCCCTGTTTGGCAACATCCAGGACATCTACCACTTTAACAGGTACAGCACACAAAGAGCTGGAGACTCAGACCTAATGCTGCGTTCACATCATATTAACTGGGTGGGAGAGTCGGGAAAGATTCCTGTGTTTACGACTTGCAAGCGTCATCATCAGAGAATAACTCAAGATATGGGTGTGATTGTCACGCTGGGAAAGTGAGGGTTAAAATACTGTGCTTTGACATTTTAGTCTCGACTCCACTCCCCAAAGACTTTAATTGAAACTAAAAAATAAACAATATATTAACAGATAGACTTTACTTCAATATTTCATTACTAGTCGTCTTCATATAAAGTGTCACAGCTGCGTGAAAGTGAGTCAGTAAATGTTCAGAACTCTGACGTGTTTAGTGAAAAACATTGATCTTGACTTTCAGTTTGCTGATGACGACTGGAGGCTAAAAACACACACAGACGCTTGTCTCTCCCAGGATCAACAAACAATGTGCTGCCCGTGGCGAAACTGGGCTGAGCACCTGTTGATTTCAGGGAAGGGCGTTGTTGTTGCAGTCAGGTGTGTGTTTGTGTGTCATAAGTCCACGTCTGCATATTTGTCTCCTCCGGCACCATTCTAAACCGTGTGTGTGTCTGCGAGTTGCGTATTCAGACGAGGTGGCCGGTCGAGCATCAGCCCTGGTGGTCTGAAGACACAAACGTGCACACTCTTTCCCCACACCTATTCATTTCTCAGCTGTCACGCGCAGACAGACTGGCCAGTAAAAGGAAGCATAAAAGCAGTTTAAAGCGGTCACGATGACCTCATGCTTCAGCCATGAAACAATAACTCCCAACAGTTTTTATTTTTTTCCACAGTGTGCTCTTACACATACACAGCTACACACAGGAGCTGCCCTGTTTGAATTCATGGAAGTTTCTCATTTGTTCAGAGCCTATAGTGGCCTTAGACCTCATTTCTGTGCCCAGGGTGACTCTTGCTCCTGACAAACCGTTGGGAACAATGAGCCGTGGGAGAGTAGTTAATGTGTGAAGACGCAGGAAATTATGGTTGTACGGTCAAATACTGATGTCTTTGAGCTCTGTGTGTGTTTCAGGGATCTTCTTCATGATCTTGAGAAGTGCAACGCCGACCCCGTGGCCATCGCAGAGTGCTTCGTATCCAAGGTAAAGATGGCCGCCTCCCTGCCACCTTTTTACCCCACGGCATTTATTTAACTGGTATAGTTATATTTTAAGTTAAATTACTGTTTGGAGCCCAAAGCAAAGAGGGAAAAATGCACATTTCACAAAACATGTAAAAATCATAAATTATTTGGAGAAAAAAACAGAACAAATTTGTGAAACACAACTTCTTTTAAAATTCTTTCCTAAACTAGGGGAATTTTGGACCAAGCAGTTCTGGGGAGGCCACAGAAAAACGACATACCGTCAAGGGCTTTTTTTCTTTTTGCATTCACACTGCTAATATACAGATATAGTAAATGAAATACACATAATGGAAAAAATTACCCTCTCACTTCGCTTACAAATTAATAGATTTACACTGTTTGAATAAGAAAAATGAGGAAAGGTTTTAAGTCATGCTGTAAACTACAATACTCTTGTATACTCTTTGTATCTGCAAGTATGCACAAGTCCCTCAGAATGGCCTTTTTGAGAACAATGATCGTTACTATTTTATTGTGCTGTGACACAAGGAAAGGGAGGTTCCTGGAACAATGTAAAGGTTAATCCAGTCTTAATATGCCTATTGTTGAATCAGTGTTAAAAACTGAATTTTATTATATACACAGCAGCCCTGCCCTGTTACTTTGAATTTGCAAAGGAAGCTCTGTGTTAATTTCATGTCTCCAAGGTGAACAAAAAAATCCAATAAAGCAAACACACTTGATGAATTCAAGTAACCTATAACTGTTTATAACTGTAGTAACATGTTATTGTTCAAAACCCTTCTGCATTAACAGAGCAGGTGTGCTACTCATCTGTGTGTGAAACTATTTTTGTAGAAGTTTTTGAGATAGTTGTTTTTTCCGAAAATGCACTTGTTTAGGAAGCACTGAGCATACGACTGGATAAATGAGACTTGGATCAGACTGCAGGAGTTGTGTGACAGTTTGTAAACAAATGTTTTGATATATTTTTGGTGTTGTTAAACGTGGCCCCCAATGACTTCAATTCATTAAGCATTTTCTTTGTTTTTTGATTTGTTGTTCACCGTGGAGGCATGTGAGATAAATTAAGTTTTCCTCACAAATTAAAGGTAACATGAGATGAGTAACTGATATAGAAAAGATCATTTGGGGGTGAAGTTTCCTTTAAGTAGGATTTTGAGTGCATGACCTTTACTTGTCATGGAGTGTTTTTACTTTGTAGCATTGATACTTGTGAGTACTTTGTCCTGGCTCTCTGCCTGTACACACTCCTCTGCTCCTTAACAGCTGGTCCAGACACTCACACATAACACACACACAGACACACACAGGACAGAAAAAAATATACAAGAGAGATAGGTCAAGAGATAAGTCAACAAAAATCAGGTGAAGATGCTGCATGAAGTCAGCTCAGTTTATTGACGCTAGTAGAATTATTTCAGCGGTCGGAATGTGAGTTTACAGGGCAGCAGGAGGGCCCGGGAGGAAGGACACCTCCAGAGGAATTTAAAGGACCGTCCAAATATATAATCACCTTTTTTACTGGAGGGGGGATAATAGCAGTGCTTCATCAAGAAAAACTAGACTCAGCAACTCCTGTCAGAGTATCCCCGGTTCCTTCGTCTGCATGTTCCAGCTATTCCTCCACTCCTACTCCTCACCCTGTCCGTGCCCTAAAGAAATGACTGCATGATTATGTCCCATGATAATGTGCTGCATTCCTGCACTTCCTCTAAAACACTTTACATTCCCTCCCAACCCAACTGCAATTACACCCAATACCACAGAGCAACTGTTTGACCATATATAAAAAAAACTAGTCAGAGTCAGCGTCACAGCCACCCTAAATACAGCAGCTGTTGTTTAGGCGGAGCAGTTTTATAGCAGCCCACAGCACCACTCTGCATAATTAACTGAGATCCATAAACAAACCAGCGCGGTGACATCTTGCTACCGACTGATTAACATTACAGCATCGTGAACTGATCTCAAATGATCCCCACAGTTGGCTTCTATTCTGTAGCCAGGACAGCATTTAGTATAAAAACAGTAACATCCTTATAGCCGGGGGGTGAAATTGGATCACAGCCAGCTGAGAGCAGTGCTCCACCTCTTGAAATCCAAATCACATCCTGCCTCTGATAACCTCTCTCTCATGACACTGGTACTCGTACTGTAGATATCCATTAAAACTAATGATAGTAGCCCTTGTTTTTTACTGCAAGAACTCCTGAGTTGCTGCTTCCGGCCCTTTCCAACACACACACACACACACACACTTCACTGCTGTTTGTACCTGTAAATGTTCATATGCATAAATATAGTTCAGCTGGTGGCCAGGACTTGAAAATAGTGAGTTTGATTTTGTCAAATTTAACCTAAAACAGTTATGATAGCCCATTACACAACTCATAGTTTACTTTAAGAAAACATTTCCCATTGAGATTAAAAGTTAAATTCTTGATCTTGGAAACAGCGGTAAAATAATCTCACCACAAGCTCCATTAGCAGCTGCTCTGGAGCCTCCGCAGATGAAGTCTTGACATTTCTCATGGGATTTTCGATGTTCTGATCACTTTAAAGACTTCACCTTCATGTTGGCTTAAACGCTGAGAGTTAAAGTGCATTTTTGACCTCGGAAAAAGTACATGAAGTTCTTTAAGTGCTGATAAAAAAAATCGAAATCTAAACATTGATAATCACAATGCAGCTTGGCAAACTTCATCCGTTGAGGAAGATCGTCTGGTACTAGCGCTGTCTGGGTGAAGGAATTAACTCTGTGGGGATTAAGAGTGCAATGTGTAGTTTGACCGCCATCTTTTACTCGGTTTATCCTGATTTTAGTTATTAGGTATGTTGTTGCTTTCTAAATAACAAATATGACAGTTTTGAAAGAAATTAAATTCTTGTTAATTGTTAAATGCAGAGCACAGAAGGGCAGTGAGATGCAAAAAAGGTGCAGCGTTTTTTCAGCTGAGACACTTTGGTTGCGTCTGGTTGCCATGACACAGAATATCGTCAGAAGTAAAAATGCCGTCCCAAAGTACTTGCTCTGGATGAAGGGGACAGCTGAAGCACGTAGGGAGAGAGGACGAACCCCTCAGTCTGTGTGGGTTCAGTATGAATTTCTCTTTCAGCGTTGTTGTTATTCAGTGATGTAACACTTGGTGTTTGTGGTATTTGTCCCGCCCCTCCTACACTGTGATTGAACAGCTGGATAACACACTGTGTTTTTTAAAGTTATCAGGTCCTACTTAGCCCAAATAGCTAGGAGAAAATAAAAATGCTTAGCAGACAACAGCTCAGGTCTCAGGAGGAGACAGTAGCTGTTGATGGTGAAAGCTGTCTTTAGGCTTCGATGGATTTGTCAGTAAGTAGGTTGGTTGCGTCCACTGACTGGAAATATTGTGTAATTACTGACCATCACCATTTACAGTGAGACATACAAGTGTGTGTGTGTGTGTGTGTGTGTGTGTGTGTGCGTGTGTGTGTGCGTGTGTGTGCGTGTGTGTGTGTGTGTGTGTGTGTGTGGTTTCATCATTTTACAGGCTGACTTCTGGTAAAAGGGTTGTGACCAGAATAGTAACCTGAGTTCTTTTGTATTGCAGAAGGTTAGTCATGGTCGCTAAGACCCAGAAAAACCACAAAGCCTCTCTTTCACTATCCGCTGTCGCACATCTAACTCATACACACTCACACAGACACTTGCAGCTAATATTTTTCTAGCCTGAGCGGCCAAGAATCACAACCCAGCACCGTGTTTGAAGAGGAGTCAGATCTAGTAGTAAATCTCTGCCTCTCTCTCTCTCTCTCTCTCTCTCTCTCTCTCTCTCTCTCAGATAATTGGCTATCTATCCTCATGTTCCTCTCTTTGACTAGATCCTAGCTCTGCTATGTGATGAGTAAGCCTTTAACGCGTTTTATGGGTTGCTACATGCTGACTGAAGCACAGGGAGCACTATTACAACAAGATCTCGGGCTCCTTTTTTTGCCCCTAGTGATTCTGTCATGTTCAGTGCTTCCCTGATGACTCACCGTGACCTGTCCAGTCTTGACAAATCAACGAAAACTGCAGATTTATGACGTTCTCATTAAAAACGATCAGCGGGTGCTGAAATAACTCAACCTTGTCTTGTTTCACTGAGGAGCAATCAGCAGCCACAGCTCAAAAAAATAAGTCTTTCTATATAATTGTATCCTGATACTCCAGAAAGGGGTATTTTTCATCCTGTGTCGGAGCCAAAGCTCTCACATGCAGCATTTGGATTTGATGATTATATGATTTAGCTTAGCTTGTATATATTTCTCAAAGGGAAGCATATTATAGATCTGAGCTATTTCAGGGTCGGCTGGTTACATGGTTGGCTTCAAAGAGTGTGTGCAGACATGTCAGCTTTAATGACAAAGTCTGCAGACGTGCATGCTCTGCACAAATTTGAACTTCATAGAAGCATTTATGTATCTTGTGGTCTCGGGTCCACGGTCCAGAGGGGTATTAAGAGTGTGTATCAGGAGCGTGCCTTGGTGTGTGTCGTCAGGAATCGATGGTGGCACATCTGGTTGCGCTTAGGCCTGGTCTGTGGCGGCAGACTGCTGGAGACTAGGAGGAGAGCCCTGCTCTTCAATTTAGGAAAGTTCCCACGGAGCACCTCGGGCTGACAAATCGTGAGAGTCTGCGTGCGTGTGTGTTCTTGTGTGTGTTCTGTTTGCGTTCGTGTAGGTAGCTTGAATTGTTCGCTGTGGCTTGAATAGCAATGTATATTTATCTAAAGCAAGAAACATCCACACACGCCCAGTGTATGCATGCTGTATGACTATGAATCACATGTTGGGAAATATGTGTGAATGTCCACATTTCTCTCAATGTGTGTGCGTGTGTGAGCGCACATCATGAGCCAGGACAGACTGTCATCTGCCCTGTGTGTTTATGATGTCGCTTCCTGCATCCTGCGACCCCCAAGTGTTTATGGACACAAATAGAGTTCAATTTAGGCTCTCACGTTATGCAACAGTGAGGGGTTCACGTCCGGGCCTCCAACAGAGCTCGATGAGGGGGAGTGTGGATCTGAAAAGAGCAGGAATGCATTTCTAAAAGAGAGGAAAATCAAAAAAATATCCATAGAAGATCGATAAAGAGATGGCATGGAAAATGAGATCAAGAAATAGGGCGTGGAGAATGGAGAAAAAGAGGTTCATTCGGGCTCTGATAAGTCATACAGCCTCTGATGTCTTTGATGTTCAGAGAGGCATGCAAGGTGGGAAAAGTCTCAATTAAAGGGGCGGCGATGAAGTATGAGGGGATGTATAATCCGAGCGCTCAGGGCCGTTGGGATCAAAAGAGACTTAAAGGCCAGGGCGAGGGCTAATCATAAGCTACAGGGTTGACTTTCAATTAGTAGCACTGAACGGAGGAGAGGGGATGCCTTGTCTGTGGGCTCAGAGTGTGTAGAGCCGTAAACATGAAATAACCGTCATCAAATCTGCACCGGACCGCTGCAGGTACAGTCCGACCAGTGAGGCGAGAAGGACAGAAAATCTTGACCTTGAAAGCATCGTACAGTACAAGTGGTTTGGAACCAATTTTACTTGTTCCAGATATCCATTGTGTTCAGATTATTTTCATATGATGTGATTATTAGCAGACTCTTGCATTGGTTGGTTGTGAAATCCAGCTTTGTGAACGTCAAAGGAACATTATTGTTATGAGAAAACAGTGTAGACTTTTCAAATTAAAATGCAATTAAACTGTGTTACGAAGCAACAATAGTGTAACATTCATAAAAACTAATGTAGACCTAATGTCGACTGTGATGTCATCAGTCTGGAGACTGTCATGAAATTTTCTCACCAAACAGAAATGAAAGAAAACCAGTGGCTGCCTGGTAAAATATAAAAAATGGGAAGCTTTTAGCATGCATGGTCACAATAATAAGACAATAATAAAGTTTTTTTTTATATTGAATTTATTAAAACCAGAAGTTACAAAGTGAAAAAACAAAAAAATACAGTCATAAACACATACACATGAGAACAATGAACCATAAAAACATCTGATCAATTTATACATTTATATGATAATAAAGTTCTTTTTTTTTTTTTTCAAAAGGCCGCATGATAAAAATACTTTTTCAAGAAGTGATTTAAAAGAGGAAACTGACTTTCCAAATCAGATTTCATCAGGCAGGTTGACAGTACACACAAAGTACATGATTTGTTGTTTAAGAGCAAAAACATACGTCACTGACCTTTAATTAAATGTTATCCTGTAATTATGCTGAACCAAAAATTACCCAAAAAAAACTGTCAGAGATGCACCCTCACGGTGGTGAACGTAGAAAACATCATACCTGCAAACATTGTGACTGTGAGCTTGTTAGAAAACTGATGTTAAAGCTACAGAGGGTCACCTTTTAAACATATTTTTGTCATAGAAAAGAGAGACAACTGGTTGCTCTGTATATACAAATGTTGATCAAAAGCTATGTATTGGGTACTCGTGGAGAATGGGAAACAACAGGATCAATAGGAAGGCAATCCAGGCCTGGATTTAACACACAAGTGAACACACATCAGCATCACAAGACATCATCTTTACCTTCTTGACTGTTGAGTTAGTCCTGCGTCCTGTCACTTTATTCCATCAACTAATTTGCCCTTGTTTTGTTTTACAGAGTGAAGAATTCCACATTTATACTCAGTACTGCACCAACTACCCACGGTAAGGCAGCAACCAAAGCGTGTGTGTGTGTGTGTGTGTGTGTGTGTGTGTGCATATATTCAGTTCACCTGTCTACTGTACAAAACCCATCTTCTGCTTGTCACCCTATCTCGATCTCACCTCCACATACTGTCTTCCCAGCGTCTCACATAGCTCCATTGTGTACGTCGATCAATGCGTTACCCTTTTCTCCTCCCTGACAAACTGACACGCTCCATAGAAGTCACCTCAGCAGGAGTCAATGTGTCTGCCGTCAGTTGTGCCTCAGGGTCTCTCTACCTCCCTCCTCCGTGCCCCAGTTTTTTTTCTTCTTCCTCCATTCTTTTATTCGCTGCCTACTGACAGAGTTACAGCTCACACACTGACAGATGGGGTATTACAGTTGTCACCTTATCATACCTAACGCTGTTAATGTTTTATTAAGCTCTGTGTGAGTGCGCTCCTATGGGAGGAATAATGTGGAGCTCCTTTGTGTCGGTGTGTGTGAAACGTGACGCTGCTCTTCATGCCAAGATACACGGCACCTACCGAACACACCTTCTCCTCTGGCTACCATTTTTCTTTCGCAGTGTAGGATAAGAAAGGCACGTGGAGGAAGAAACAATTTACAAACTAATTGTGGCTAATTGTGTGCTGATTGTGTGTGTGTGTGTGTGGGGGGGGGCAGTGTGTGTGTGTGTGTGTGTGTGTGTGTGTGTGTGTTAAGGGGCTGTTGTCAGCTGTTTGAGATAGACCTTCTCCCACATCCACACCACAGCTGGTGACCCCAACCAAGGTCACACACGACAGACGTGCACACACACACACGGAAGACACTCACTCACACACTCATGGCCATGCTGTGCTCTAAGGTCGGGTTTCCTCCAGAACAATGTGAGGCCTGTGTGGAGCCTCACTGGAATTTAGACATGCAGACATGCACATGCATGCGCTCACTCACACACACACACACCCACACACACACACACACACACACACACACAAGAGCCACAGTAAGAAAGTTTTGGGTAATTCACAACTGTCTTTCTCCGTCTTTTCCAGTGTGTATGTGTGCGCATGCCCGCGCGCACACATACACACACACACACACATTAAGCCCCCATTTGTTTGTGAAAAAGGCTCTTTCTTCTCCAATAGCTCACACAGCAAACTCGCCCCAGTAACCAGTAAATTCAGGTCTGACAAGGTTGTTTAGTGCTGCTGCTTTTAGTGGAGTATGGACCAGGAAAATCAATTCACGCTGCCGGAGAAAACAGTAAAAGCATCAATTGAGACTGAGATCTGAAGCTGAAATAGGACTGAACGATTATTTACTAGCCTCGCCATTTACTGACCTTCATTGGACAAGAAAAAAACAAAATACAAATTGAAATTAAAAAGGAATAAAATGTTTGTGTGTGAAGAGTTTTATCTGATGGAGTACACCCAACCTTGAAACACTGAACATTTAAGGACAGCGTCACCATTCTTCATGTCGGTCTGAAGGCCCAGACACACCAAACTGTTGTCAAAGAAGTACTGTACTGGCGACGAGGGCTGACTGTTGTCGCCTCATGTTGCCTTTGTCTTGGCCAAAAAGTTGCACTTGAACACACCGCAGATACTACAGCCAACGGCCAATTAGCATGTACACTCTTTGCCTGCATGAGAGGAAATTACTCTCCATACCAGCAGGTGGCAGTTGTCGTAATTCCTTATATTCAAAAAGGGGAGACCAACAGGAAGGATTCAAGATGCTAGTTAGCCAGTTAGCACATTAACAACACAACGCGATGTTGCACAAACCCTCCTGACTTTCACCTCTAGTTCTCTTCTCACAATTTAAGTAGAACCGCGAATTAGAGTGATTTCATTCACCAGTCAGCTCCGCAGTCTCCAATGCCAATTCCACAAGGGCCAAATAGTTGCAACGGTGCGGAACACACTGCAAAAAGTAGGGCAACAGATGCTCACTGACGGCATGACATTGACGGATAACTGATTGTCAGCTCAGTGTGCCAGGGCTCTCGAAACAATAGTCAGGGAAGGGATCTTTTAAAGATGACCTATTATGCTCATTTTCAGGTTCGCACTTGTGTCTAAGCTTTCTACTAGAACATGTCTCTTGAAGCCCCTCTCCTTAAAAAGCCCAGTCTGCTCACTGCCGGGTCCTCCATATCTCGGTGTCTCTGTACCGTCACTGCAGCCGGGCAATAACTGAAACAGAGAACAGCGGCACTTTCTACCATAAAAAATTACCAATTAAAGCATCTTAACACAAGCAGACATGTCCCAGCAGGACTATGATCTGAAAGCAGGGAGAAATTAACAACACTAGCAACCAAAATTACACATTTCCCTGAGGTTAGCATGTAGCTACATGTAGCAGTGTGGGCTACGTTATGTAAACACTTGCAGTAGCGCGCCTGGAGCAGATGACCATATAAAGACATCCTGCACACTGTGATGTCATACTGTAGCCAGAGTAGAGAAAACACTGGAAACAGAGTATTCAGGACAGGCATGCAGAGAGTTGATGCATTATTTTACACACATCCAAAAGATGTAAAAATACTCAAACTGATAATGTGATATATACAGTCTTCACACACCATGCCTTATATTTCTTTCTGTCTTTTCCTTTTTTAGTATCATCTGTCAGGACATACATTACAGCTTTAACTTATCATCAGTGTGTAATTGCTTTGCTACACATCCCTGATATCTTATTGGCTGTGTTTTGTCTCCACAGGTCGGTGGCTGTGCTAACAGAGTGCATGAGAAACAAGGCGTTGGCCAAGTTTTTCCGCGAGCGCCAGGAATCTCTGAGGCACTCCCTGCCCCTGGGCTCCTACCTGCTCAAGCCAGTGCAGAGGATCCTCAAGTACCACCTACTGCTGCACGTATGTCTGTCTGTTTGACGTCTGCCTTGCTCCAAAACACACTTACACGCAAACAATTACTCTTAAACCCACAGAAATGCAAGCACAGGCACTCACTTGTTAAGTCCAGGACTCGCTAATGTTTTTATCCATACTAATACAAATGCATGTGTACGGTTGGATAGCAGCGATTCTGACTCAGCTCCCAGTGACAATCTCCACTGGAGAAGCCAAATGTTTAGACATATGGCGCTCAGTGTGTATGTTCCTGTGTATGTATGTGCTTGCATTAGAGTGCAGAAACACACACATAGGTGCCTGTATGAGTGAGCCCCCTGTGCATGTGCATACAGTGTGTGTGTGTGTGTGTGTGTGTGTGTGCTGACTCCCAGTGTCATGTCCGTGCAGGAGATAGCCAACCACATGGAGAAGGACACAGAGACCTACGAGGTTGTGCAGGAAGCCATAGACACCATGCAGAGAGTGGCCTGGCACATCAACGACATGAAGAGGAAGCACGAGCACGCTGTTAGGTTGCAGGTACGACAAGCACACATAAGAATAAAGCCTGACGCAAAATATTTCATTATCAAACAGGTGTTTTCCACTTGTTCGACGCCTCTGAGTCCACTAAATGTCGAGTGTGTGATCCCCTCCATGATTCACCCTGCACACTTTCCACGTCTCTCATTATTCCTTTAACAAAAACAGACGCGGCAGTGTCGAGCCTTTTCAAGGAGCCAATTCTTTTATTGTTCTGCAGAACAGTTATGTGGAGTCTAGCTTTGAGTCAGCCAAGGCTCTGATCCTCCCCACGTCTTACGCAAGTCGCTGCGCTTTCCACTGGGCTAATGATGGCCTTGCATAAGGAGGGCACATAAAAGGGAAGCTTGTTTCTTTTATCAGCTGGGAGCCAGAAGGGTCAGATGAATGCAGGAATGTGTGAGGAAGCCTTTGCTCTGGAGAAAGGATTGGCTCTGTGGAGATTTCAGCATTTTGTTGTTTTGTCCTCTTCATTGTCTTTTTTGTTTACCCCCCTGCAAATCTGTTTGTAACATGTCCTTAACCTTCTGGTTATAGTCTGTTTCTCCCTTCATCCAGTAGCACAGCAGACATCCTTTAGCATCCTCCTTCACACTATCTTTAAAACCCCACCTTTCCAAATGAACATTTATACATTAGATACTCGCCCGTGTTACATTGAATGTATGAAGAAAACTTTGTTTTTCCAGCATGCCTTCACAATAAATGAAGAATCCAAAAGTCATAGGGGTTTTTCTTTACTTTGGTGTTTTAAGGGATTAGTTTGGAGTCAGTTAAGTCGCACAGTAACACCAACAAATTACAGATCGAGGCAGTGGTAGACCAACAGCTTCAGTGTTCAGTGAGGAAAAATTACTGTTTTTGTCAGTGGCTCTAAAGAGAGATAGATGATTTTCACTTTTAGTTCAGTTCCCTGTCAGTGAGGGGCTGTTTGGGAAGAACTGAGCATTCAGTAAGATCAGTGAGACTTATACTGCACAAATTGTGCAAGAGTTTGTAAATTGTTCAATTGACCCTTCGCTAAGTCCCGCCCCTAGACACAGACAGGCCAATCATAACATAGCATCGAGCCGGGTCAGACCAGGGTCCGACAACAACACAGCTGTGCTCCATTGCCTCTAATACAGTCGTTTCAGATTTCCCTCATTTTCAGGCTGGTTTTGTTGATTTGGAGCTAAATGTTGTGTCTGGGGCACGTCATGTATTAATGATACTCGTTACCTGGAGAGGTTGGAAAAAGACATACGTTTCTTCCCTGTTCCAAAATCAAACCCTGAAAAGTGTAGGGTTAGCTAGCTAGCTACTGAAGATATAGCCTACTGAATGTATACACGTGCTGCTTTTGCTTTTTAATGATTATAACAGTGAAAAAAAGACCGATCCTGCTGTACAGGAACCAGTGAAGGGAAGCAGGGAATCTTTGATGATATTGGACCAGCTGTGTGTCATCACAGTGTGTGCAGATGAATGTTGTTTGGCTTCCTCCAGAGATCCCCGCCTGCCCAGCGGTGGAGGTCCAGGTGCTGGCAGCGAAGCCAACCACCGTTCATCTGCACACACTGCGATGCCACACAGCTGGTTCAATATCAGCAAAGTTTCCCTTTATATTCATCGTCTTGTGTGGCGATCAGCAGCGATGTGGTGGTTCACTTTTACACTGTGATCTGTAGCCTATAGTTCGGCTTTAGCTTCTAACTATCTTTGTCTTTTTAACCTGTTGTTGCTGCTGAGTCAGTTTGACATCCTGGATATATCCTTCAAACACAGACTGTAGACCCCTCTGTCTGCTTCTCTCTGGAATCACTGTTTCATTTTTACAAAAATATGAAAATATTTCTTCAGGGAGTGCAGTTAGTTACATTTACCTGTATTTTTGTGCTTTCTGCAGGAAATCCAGAGCCTGCTGACCAACTGGAAGGGCCCTGACCTGATCGGCTACGGAGAGTTGGTTCTCGAAGGAACGTTTCGTCTGCAGCGAGCCAAAAATGAGAGAACGCTCTTCCTGTTTGACAAGCTTCTCCTCATCACCAAGAAACGAGAGGAAACCTACACGTACAAGGCTCACATACTGGTCAGTCGTGTCTTTGAAGCATCTTGTGTCCTCAAGAGAGACATAGAAATATGCAGATGTTTCTGCTCTGCAACAGTGTTTTTACTTCCTGTTGTTCTTTCCTGCAGTGCTGTAACCTGATGCTGGTGGAGGTGATTCCTAAAGAACCGCTGAGTTTCAGTGTGTTTCACTACAAGAATCCCAAACTTCAGCACACAGTCCAGGTACAGCAATGTTACATAAGAGAGTGCATATCATAACAAAAGTCAAAGTGTGAAGTGTTTGAACTGTGCAGCAAGGGTGCAATCAGAAAGTGTGATGATTATTTGCAGGTGTCCAGGCTCACCTTGCTGAGTTGCTCAGACATGTTGAGTGTTTAGAGGCTAATGGCAGCCATTGTTGTTACCTAACCACTGTGTTTTGGACAAGTGCTGAAAAATAAAAGCTAATCTGTGTGACGTAAGAAAGCCGTGTTCCCAATGTTCAAGGGTTTTATCGCAGCCCTCTCGACCGCCTCTTAAACTGCATGTCTGATATTATCTTCCCTCTGATGTTTTGTGCTCTGCCCTCAGGCCAAATCACAGCAAGACAAGCGCATGTGGATCTTACACCTCAAGAGACTCATACTTGAAAACCATCCGGCCAAAATCCCCGCCAAGGTAAGAGCGGCTCGCCTCCTGACAGCTCCCTCTAAGTTCAGTGATGGTGTAAACACAGACTTTGAGTGGGATGTATTGGAAATGCCACTCCCTCTTGTCCACTTGTTTTCTTCTTCACCTCCATCTTTCTTTCCTCCCTGCTTTTTCTCCACACTTTCATGCGCTCTGACTCCTTCCCCTCATTTGTTTTCATTAAATCACAATCACTTTTCTGTCTCTTCTTCTGCCTCTGGCCTTGTGCAAGTGTAAACTGATGATTCCTCCTCAGGGGTGAAGGTCACTGGGAAAGTTCACCGTGATTACATAAAGTGGCCTCCTGAGTGCCAAACTTGAGCACAGTAGTTCACAGGACTGTAATGTGGCGCCACCTAGTGTCAGCTTTTATGTTCACTCATAACCTGTTTAACTCACCCTCATTTTATTATTTCAATTCTAGGCCAAACAAGCCATTTTGGAGATGGATGCAATGCGTAAGTGTCTACTTATATATGTATAATTTAACAAAATCATATTTTTTAGTCTGTTTAATTTTATGTTCTTCTACAGCAACCGTATTTAATGCATTTTATAATTATGTTTTTGGCATCTTTTCTATGATTTCTCCAGATCATCCCGGGTTTCATTACAGCCCTGATGGCGACAAGAAGGATTCCCCTCAGACCAAGGAGGGTCCAACTCCTCGTAGAGGACGCAGGAAAGGTAACAAGATTACAAAAGGATTTTATATCTTTTTTGAATTATACAATTTGCAAGGCTGAACTTCAAGAATTAATCAATAATTCTTTGACTTTCCAGAACCTCTATCAAAATTATTGAAGAATGCAAAGCAGAATGCTGCCAACACAGACGGCGAAAAGGTGAGTCATAACCAGACATGATGAACAGTTTCAGGTAGTGTTAATTTATTGCCTTTATTTTTTAATTTAGTCCTGGTCTTAGTCCTGTGTCAAATGTCCTTGTTAGTTTTATCATATTTAGGCAACCTCATCCTGTTTTTTGGTCCAGTTTTAAGTCTGAGCAATTTCAATTTCTTCTTAGTTTTTAAAAAACAAACAAAAAACATCACTATTTTAGTCTGGTTTCTAGTTTTAATCAATGACAACTGTTGCCATTTAATTTTTTTAGTCATCAAAGAAGGTGAATCTAGCCTAGCCTAAAAAAATTTTGTCGATTTAGTCCAACTTATTTCACATAAGATTTTATTTTATTATCTAATGAAAAACGCAGGTTGAATTATTACTTGCCCTACTTCAGTTTCACGGCTGACCACTCTAAAATATTTTGTTGCCCTTTTTTGGGCAACTAAAGTAAAACAAGATTTTACTTAAAGTTTTTTAACTACTTTTTTTCATCATCAGTACTGCATGTTGATATGATCACAGTTAGTGTTTAATGACGTAGGTGCTGTCTCGACGTCGTCTAGTCTTACTCATGGAAAAAAAGGTTGCTGACATATTTATTCATAGTTTTTGTTAACTAAATAAATTCTAAGTTGAGGTGCGTGAGTTCTCACACAGTCTCTGAAGTTGTTTAATCAAACTCTTGAAAAAACCTTTCTCCTCTCCAGCGAATAAGTCTGGGAGCCACCCTGCTCTCGCCAATGTCCCAGCTGGCTTTGGGCACCATCGGTCGCAGCCGCAGCCTCATCAACCAATCGCAGGAGTCCTTGGACCCCGGCGATCACTTTGACCACAGTGACAGAGAAGAGGAGCCTCATCAGCAAGATGCTGATGACGAAGATGACAGTGGCCTGGTGAGTTTAAAGCTGCCCAACGAGTGATGCTCATACATATAGTATGACCTCTTCAGACATGTTGTTGATGCTGATAACTCTGCATTCAGGGAGGCGGAAAGCGGCTGCGAGTCCCCGGCAAAAGCAGTAGGAAGAGGCTGAACCCTCAGGCATCTGTCGACAGTATAGAACAGTGGAAAACCTTCAACATGAGCTCCTCAGACTTACAGGTATTAATCACAAATTCACCATGATAATTTAATCTGCTTATGCTTTGATGATTTTAGACTAAATAGACTTAACGACATGTTAAACAACAACGTCTGCTTTCCTGTCCTGCAGAAAGCCAGAGAATCCCTGGTGAGGGATGGAAGTCGCCACCCACCGCTTCTCAGGACACCTCACGTGACAGAGGAGCCGCCAGACACCCCCATCCCCTCTGTAGTAATCACAGAGAGTGAGAATCCTGTAAGGAACATCTGGGCGGACCACCGCGCTCGCAGGGCCATGTTCCCCACCCGCCAGCGGACCATGCAGCCCGACGACGAGGACGAGGACATCTACCAGATGTTTGTCCCGACAGAGCAGAGCGGGCCAGAACCAGAGACGCCCACGGAGAGGACTGAAGCCACCTCATCGCCCAAGACAGCTCGGCCCTGCAGCTGGCATGTTGAACAGGTGCCCACTGTGCAGATTGACCCTCCACCTGACGGGAGCAGAGTCCTGCGGAGGGCGAGCAGCGCGGGGGAGAAGGCAACGGAGGCCCGACAGAGTCCTGATGACGACCAGACTGATCACAGCAACCTGGAAGTGATCCACACTGAATCCTCCAGCAACGACATATCTGGATCATCCTCAGCTGAGCAGCTGACGATAGACGATATAGAAAACGTGTATGACAACATCAGTTATGAGGACTTGAAGAGCATGGGCCTCGTCAGAAGGGACCCAGAGGAGAGCCGGAAAGAAACTTCTGCAGATGCACAGGGTTCCCAGGCCCAAGCAGCAAGGGTACTAAATGCTCCAGAGGTTCATGCGATCACAGAGCCTCTGATTGAACCAGACACTTCCTCAGACAGCAACCGGTCCTCAACACAGGAGGGGAGGCCATTTGGGCCATGTGAGCTCAAGATAGTGGAGGAGAACATCTATGACACCATCTGCTTCAGGGAGCCTCCATCAGCAGAGCCTAAAGGAACGAATGAAGGCGACAAACTACAACAAGAGAGGGACAGTCTGCTGGCCTCTGAGCAGGACCTAACTGAAAGCCTCGGAGGGTTTGTATCCGAGGAAAGTCTCCATTTTGTAGAGGACGAAGCACCAGACACGTCCCACCCTGTCCCATGTTCCTCTGAGCCAGATTATTCCTCCTCGTCTGCCTCTGAGACTTTCTCCCAGCGCTCACAGAAAGGGGATAAGATGTCAGAGCAGGTCGATGAGATCTGGAACGATCTGGAGAACTACATCAAGAACAATGAGAAGAAAGCTGATAGATTTCCTGCTGCCTTCCCTGTTGGTGCCACTGAGTCGCCTAAGAAGGCGTCTTCAGTTAAAAACAGCCCTACAAAGAGCCCCCCTGTAATTAGTCCTCAAGCAGCCAGCCCTCCACCCAAGAGTCCCCCAGCACATCAGCCTAAACCCCCACCTGTCACCTCTACACCGTCATTCACCATCCCAGTCATCCAACTGCCAGACCCTCAAAGTGAAGGCGCCAGTGCAGAAGAAAACCACAGTCCTGGTCCTGCAGCTCGCCCCCTTCCTGCCACCCCAGAGCCCCTCCCCGGCACCGTGAAGAGCATCCGTAACAGACTGGCTCGCCTCAGCAGCGGCAGTTTCCGCCTAGAGGACGACGACCTGGTGGAGCTTCCTCAGCGAAGCACCCCTCAGAGGGATATTCCCCTCAAGGAGCTCCACAGCTTGTTTTCGGGGGAGCTGGCAGGGCTGGACTCGCCGCTGGCCTCCTCCTCTCTCCTGCTGGGTGAATCTGTGGACTTGGACCTGATGGATAAATCAAAGAACCGCGTGTTCCTGATGGCGCGGCAGTACAGCCAGAAGATCAAGAAAGCCAACCAGCTGCTGCGCATGAGGAGCATGGACCCTGGAGACGCTTGTAGTCGCGCCAGAAATGAGAAGAAGCAGAAAGACCTGGCAGCCATCTTGGAAGAAAAGAAACAAGGGGGAACTGCCATAGGTAAGACCAAACATGTAGCTCTTAGAACAATTGTTTCTAACTCTAGCGTTGTTGATAGTGGCAACTAAGAATGCACTGACCTCGCTCAATCTGAATGCTTTCCCAAAACTGAAACTCAGGGCATCTGCCAATACTGAGTACCAATGTGATTAGAGCGCTCTCTTTAACTTAAATGTAAAATCTCTGTACCTCATTTCAAGGAACTAATACCCCCTTTTTTCACCAAATGAGATCTAGTTCTTGAACTTGGTCCGCTCTGGTAATCAAGAATGCATCATTAATGGATGGTGGATAGCACTGATTAGCCTACCTGCAAACTTATGTTCTGCAATTTCATTTATTTGTTTTCCAACCTGTAGAATACGACGTGCTCACTGATGTTGTCACGGTTCACACTTTAGGTCAACATAAAAAAACTGCCATTTTTGGTTCCAGCCAGGAAACAAACCTTTTAGGTTCCAGACCAATATTTTTTTTGGTTGAAACGCTCCAAATGTTTCAAAATTAGGTTCAGGATTTTTAACATAACCCGTTCCATGTTGGTGGAAAGTAGTATAATTGGGGTCATTCATTTGCAAGGTCATATCAAGCTTTACATCACGTCTCAACTAGAAATAGAAGCAATCATACACCGTCATGCTTTTAAGTCTTGTGCAAATTTTATATTTACTTGTGCATTGCCCCTTCAAAACATGTATGCTCGGAAATGGCCAATTGCTTGGACTGTAGTGTTTCTGGTTGCAACGTCACAATCAAATACACCTGGGCCCCAAACAGCTAAAGATTTATTATGATGTTTAGATATAAAAAATATTGAATTATGTTGCTATTCTAACTCATTGTGTCCAAAAATAATGACAAATGACCACCCAAACCCTTAAAAAATCAAGTCAGCAGCAGTAATTATTTACTGTGTTCATTTCAAATTCAGATTTTACTCACAAAATATAACATTTAAAATATGATGCATTATTATTCATTAAATTATCCACCATTATATTAGAATTGAAAACTCCACCTTGGACAGTACATTTAAGTACAATGTGCTGATAATCCCTCTCTTTCAGTCCTCACCTAAAGTAAAAATTTGAATGCAGGACTTTTATTTTGTGGTACTTATGGTTTTTGAATACATCTTCTATCACTGCCAATGCCAACATTCCCAGTTAGAGAAAGGGTGTAAAGAAAAGCAAGATGGCGTTTGCCTTGGACCCCCCAATCACTAAATCTGCCCCTGAAAAACACCTGTCGCAGCTATGGTCAGAAACACTGGTGAAATACACGGTGAAGCCCCGCCCCCAATGCTGCACAAAGCCCATTGCACTAAATTCCACAACGCATGTCCTCTGGCCCCCAGCAATACACCCAGCGAGTGTAAAGTAGATCAGATGACCATTTGCGAGATACTCAAAGGCCACACAGACAAACAGACAGAGATTCCTTGCTTTATAGTTTATTATAAAAATATGTATTCACACCTTCTTTACATCCTCTTTGTGTTTCCTCTCCAGGTGCGAGGATAGCGGAGTACTCCCAGCTCTATGACCAGGTGATGTTTAGGGATCCTTCCGCTCCAGCTGGCCCACATCACTCCCATCCAGGGCTGCCGTCTTCTCCGTCCATGCCTGAGACCTCCCTGGAGGAGGACTGGCTCCACTCCACATACAGCAACGGAGAGCTGGCCAGCTTCGTCTCCTCATCCAGCGAGTTGAACGATGCTCGAGCGTCTTCCACCCCACAGCGCAGACTCACCTCCGCCTGCTCCATCCCCTCTCTCAAGACCTCCCCTCCCTCTCAGACCTCCCCGCCGTCCCAGAGGTGGAGCTCGTGCATGTCGGCGCCAAGCGAAAAAGAGGAGCACGTGTACAGTTCCATTAAGAGACATCCTTCCTTTAACGCTCCGTCGACTTCCTCCTCAAAGTCTTCCCCATCCGGTCACTGTCAGTCGCTCGGCTCTCTGGGCAGCCAGCAGCAGGAGAAGAACCAGTCTGGACTCAAATGTAACGGACCCACTGTGGATCGATCCACAGACAGACTCCATGGCCCCAGTCTGGGCCACGCTGGTCGGCAGAGCAGCCTCCCAGAGCGCTCTACCCAGGGACAGTCAGACCTCACTTTGCACGACGGTCAACAGGTGGTGGTCCTGAACCGGGCTTCTGCACTGAGCATACTCACCGCCACCCAGAACTACCTGGCTAACTTTAAGGACGATGGGGAGGACGATGATGACTATGTCGAGATCCGCTCAGAGGACGAGAGCGAGCAGGAGCAGGACAGGTTGGCGCAGCGAAACGGCAGCTCAGCGGCCCTTTCCAATCAGAGCCGGGGTCTCGCCCACTCCCAGAGTCTGCCGTGCACACCGGTGCGCTCATGCGACCCGCTGAGGTCCCTGAACCGCGAAGAACTGGAAAAGTACCTGTGGAGCGAGCCGCAGCAGAGCCAACCCAAAATCGTCCAGTCTCTGAGGGAGAAGTTTCAGTGTCTGAGCTCCAGTAGCTTCGCCTGAGTCTATACGACGAATAAAAGCCAAATATATGTAAACATACAGCGTATAGCAACAAAAGGGACACTGCTGCTTTGCCTTGAACGCCCTTTGTCAACATCATAGCCCACAAACAAACATAGAAGCAGTTTCTTTGATCGCAGCCATATTTGTAACAACTTCAATGTAAAATACATGATAGGTTACTAGTAATAGTGAAAAGCCTGCATGTGAGTTGCCTTAGCACTTCCAACAGTCTTCTGTGTGTGTTTCAATCAGATCTGGTCAGCGGGGAAGCGTTCAAAGCAAAAATGTTCTCAGTTGTTGGTAAAGGTATTCAGTGTGACTGAATGGGTTTTTAATATTCAAAGGAATTCACACGTTGCTTTATGTGTGTGTGAGAGGAGTGGCTCAGCTGGAGGGCTCAGTGCCAATAAACTGTTGTACAGTTACAGTAGTTCAGGATATCTGTTACCGATTGCAGGAAATAAAATCCGGTCTGTGCCCGACATCTCAAACTGAAGTACAAGCGTCAAAAATCGGACTCACCACGTCAAGCTCTTTGTTTTAATTTGCTGGTAAGGTTATTTTAACTGCATTTTCAGCACTAGGTAATCTCAAAGGGACAGTTCACCCCAAAATTATTTTTATTTTTATTTTTCCACTAACCTGTAGTGCTGTTTATTAAACTAGATTCTTTTGTTGCACGTCACCGAGTTTTGGAGATATCAGCTGTAGAGATGTATGCCTTCTCTCGAATATAATGGAACTAGATGGCACTCGGCTTGTGGCACTCAAAGTGCCAAAACAGGAAGTTTGAAAAACTCAACAGCAGTGTCTCCTTCCAGAAATCATGACCCGCTAATTTAAGATAATCCACAGACTTTCTTGTGAGCAGTTTCATGTAGGAACTACTTTCTTTCTACCAAACTCCACCTGCCAACTGTATCACTGCGCAGAAGGAAGTGTGCATCTACTCATGGATGAGAAATGCAAAAACTAATGCTGTCCTGCTGAAGGGAAGCGTGTATCTATGCTAGCTCACCTAGCACCACTGAGCTAGCTAATGTTGCAGCTCAGCCGAGGAGGACAGCATTAATTTTTGCATTACTCGTCCATGAGTAGATGCACGCTTCCTTCTGTGCAGTGATACAGTTGGCAGGTGGAGTTTGGAAGAAAGAAAGTAGTTCCTACATGAAACTGCTCACAAGAAAGTCTGTGGATTATCTTAAGTTAGCGGGTCATGATTTCTGGAAGGAGACACTGCTGTTGAGTTTTTCAGATGTACTTTTTTAGCGTTTTGAGCACCACAAGTCGAGTGCCATCTACTTCCATTGTAAGGCGAGGGGGAAGACAATACTCAGCAACTCACACCTAACATAGACTGATAAATAGCATGACAGCTAAGACGATTTTGGGGTGAACTGTCCCTTTAACCCACGTCAGAGAGGTGAACCACAGTGGTGACTAGTCTTTTTAACCATGCTTACACTATCAAACAGTCCTAACCGAGCAGCTTTTTCACATAGCGATCTTCAGATTTGCTACTCAGGCTAGATCGTCACTTTTAACAGCTTCTTAGCGATAACAAACAGGACGCCGCTGTAAAGAAAACATGTCGGCTAAGATCCAATAGATTAAGTATAACTAGACTTAGACCTGTAAGTCTATCTGAAGTTATTGTGTTTCACTCTACCTGCCACCTTTGTCATCGATAGGGTATCACGCTTTAAAATCAAGAGAAGATGCTGATATTTTAGATAATCTATAAGAAACCGTAGGGCTTCGTATTTATTTTGAATCTGTGAGTAAAATCAGAGATGTTTTTACGTGTTAAAGTCCGGGGGGCGTCCATTTTGTAGAGTGGAATGTGCATCTCAACAAGTGGATGTTTCTTTGTTTTTAATCATACTAATTTTAACATTTGTTTTTAAGAGGGACCACAAAGGAAGGAGAGTTCGTTAAAAGACTACAGTACTGTATTTGGTGTATTTTTATTTTTTTCAAATGGATAGTCTGTTTACTTTGTTTACGTTATGGGACACTCCCAACTGTCACACTACTGATGTTGCATCCACGGTCACACAAAGAAAGTCACTTTAATAAGGTTCATACAACACAATTGTTTTCTCTCCCCTTATAAAGTTTACCACACATTGGTTGTCTTTAAAAAGATCACAAAAAAATGTCCTATTTATTTGTCATTGTTATTTTGGCCCTTCTCACTCTCACTCCAAGCCACTGACAAGTTGTAAAATAAAGTATTTATTAAAAGATGGTTTTATTAAGAGTTAGGCAAAAATTTGAATCAAATACTGTGAATATTTTCAGAAGATTTTTTTTTTTTATCACGCACTGCTTAACACAAGTTCCAAATCACAACAACACGTGAAAAGTCAAAAAGCACAATATCATGGCCTACTGTTCATATCAGGAAATGTACGTCAAAAACAAGTTAGGAATATGAAGTATGTTTTTTTTTTAATTGTACATTTTGTCCTCTGTTTCACTGGTGGGGATTGTTTGTCTTCATTGACTCTTTTTTGCACTTTTCTGTCTTTTTTTTTAACGTTTTATTTGTAAACACTTTGTAAAGATGTACATTTTAGGAAAGTTATTCTTGTATGCCATAGGTATGCTTTATAATGCTTTAATGTTTAAGTTAAGTGTACTGTATTTTTTTAACTGCCTAGTTGTCATTGCTCAACAAAACAATGTATCGGAGGTAATAAATTCAGATTAAACTCATCTCTGTGTTTTTGTGGTTGTCATTGAATAAATATGAACATGGTGTAGAATTGCAGCCAATTAATACCATTCAGAGGATACTTTCATCAGCAGGAAACACTCACTGCTTATCCTTTCAATGAGAACTGCCTGACAATTTGACATAATTCTAGATGATAATCATCATTTTGTGAAGAATATGCTCAGTGGGGGATAAAAATAATTAATTCCCCAGTCATTTTATAATATGCACATGTCTACATGTTCTTTGTTATCATATAATAAGGATATCAATTTATATTTTATATACATTACGCAGAATATAATTTGCATATCATCACACTCCCTTGAGGTTTCAACATAATGCTTGGGGGCCAGTTAGTTATTACATTTTGGTCAATCTCAGAGTGCATTGCTTACGTCTCATCTGAGGACGATAAATAATAAATAAATGCATACGTATGCAGATATCTGCTTATAAAGTTTGCAATTACTTTCCCAAAAAGCCTAAATCAAATAAATCGTCAAAGATAAAGAATATTGCCCAACCAAATCAATCAATCAATCAAAGAATTAATTGACCAATATTAATTTTAATGTGAATGTAAAGCACAATCAGTTTGAGAAGGATCCCTTAAATTTTTTATTAATTAATTTTGTCGAAGAATTGTGACCAAGAGATTTACTGAGGACACTTTATGGCTAAAAAATAAACTATAATTATTATTATTATTATTATTATTATTATTATTGTTATCATTATTATTATCATCATTATTATTACAAGAAGGGAAATATTTGGAGCAAAGGAAAAATAGAATTTTAAATAAATAAAAATTTTAAAAAGCAACCGAACAAAAATCTAATGGCCAATACGTTGACATGTTGGAAAAAGAGGAGAAAATATTTTTAAAAATTAAAAAAAACCCACCTCAATACTGTAGTATTCTCGATGTATTTGCTTAAAACAGCAGAGGGCGCTGCAGTCCGCAGTCTGAAAATCGCTACAAGAACCATACATGAAGAGCAGGCGTCGGTATGGTGAGGCATTCTGGGAAATGTAGTTTAAATGAAATAGCGTGACAAAGCGTTCTTTTCTAACTTGCTAAGGGATCTTGTTGACCCAAAACTTCGTTATAAATTTAAAGTTGACATATTTTACATCGTTAAATCCCTCATACGGCAATTACCGTTTATTTTATAAATAAATTTTCTTCTCGAACCTTCTGGTTATTGCCGGTTTACCCATCGTGCACCTCGCCGCTTCCCTTTCTTCTTGGTTGTGTGGTGGTCCAAAATGTCGCTATTAGAGGGTCCGTTAAACGTGCTCGGCCAGAGGACAACTGGCGAATCTGTTCGTACTCAAAATGGTGAGTTGTGGTGCTCTATTACTTGGTGTTTCATATACGCTGCGTGTATTTTATGTGCGTCACGAATGGTCGACAGGAGAAGTGATTTCATTTACTGAATGTACCACACGTGTGGCTAATGCTAATGCTAGCTAACTTTTTAAGCCGCTTCTGCAGTCTCTAGTGAAATTCTGCTAAGTAAAATACAGTGAAGTCTGCTTTTTATACACAAAGTGCACATTACACTAACAGCATTAGCTATGAAGTCGTATTCCCATTATAGTACCTTCCACTCGCAACACCATGAATGGATGGCTATGCTAATGGGATAGAGGAACACTGTCATGGTCTGAAGGTGTGGCTACTTCACTGTGAGCTCCACTCAATAAAATGACAGGATAAATGAATAACGGTGGTTTTATAAGTAAAGTCAGACATGCTAAAGGGTGCACCGGTTGTCCTTTAAATGTAAAGAATGTGTTATGTAGTGCTAATGGCTAGTTGCGGCTTCTTTTTGTCTCTGCAGTCATGGCCGCAGCATCCATCGCCAACATCGTCAAGAGCTCCCTGGGACCTGTTGGCCTCGACAAGATGCTGGTGGACGACATTGGGGTCAGTGTCACATTCATCATCTTTTTTCAGTCTCTTTACTTTATAACATATACTATGATCTAAGTTGCTCATGTGTCATATTAATGTACGATAGGACGTGACCATCACCAACGATGGAGCAACCATCCTGAAGCTGCTGGAAGTAGAGCACCCAGCTGCCAAGGTCCTGTGTGAGCTGGCTGACCTGCAGGACAAAGAGGTCGGAGATGGGACCACGTCTGTGGTGAGTCGGGTCAATAGCTGCTCCAATATGGTGCCAGAGCTACTGGCTTCTTTTACTTTCACAGGGAGGATGAACTGTGCTTGATTGACATATTTCTAGCTGTTCACATAATACTGAGGTCAGTTTGTTGTAGGGATGCACCGATTGAGAAAGTCTGGGCTGATACTGATGTTAAACAATTTGGCTGATAGCAGATACTGTTGTTTTTCTTGTTATTTATTCCCCCCATCTTGTGCTAGGGAAACAAAAATCTTCATTATAGAAAAAAAATAACTGAACTGTAATAAAGTAAATCAGTCCTTTATTACACTGTCTCTGAATAAGCACAAATTCAAACACACTGTTATGAAACAATCTTCCTACACATGGAAAACATCTTAAAAATAAAATCGTGGTTTCAAAAAGCCTTTTACCACATATAAAATAGAATTTCCTCTCATTACTTTTCTATATCGTTGTGAAAGCATCAACAAAATTTCTCCCTCAATCAACTGAATTTAAGTTTCTCGCCAAAAACTAAATTTCACAAGATTACATCTGAACACATCATGATAATGTTATGATTTACTTTTGCCTAATAATAATTTTTAATGGATAGAGCTTGAATGCATCACAGTGTAACTTGACCTCTGTTAGCAGCTAGTTCCAGCCACCAGCTGCTAACAGCTGACATGACTTAGCTCACCTTTGCTAATTTCGACATGGATTTGTCTTTCACAGTGGAGGGAAATCAGGGTAGCAAGACGGTGCATCCCCTGATGTGTCAGTAGTGGGTTCAGTGCGTCTAGTCATCATGAAGATCTCTGTTTATCCCAAACACCTTTTCTTTTGTCCCATGGGACGGCGTTAATCTCAAGTTCTCCTTTCCTGCATAA